GCTGGTGTGCGTGCCCGGATTCAAACCAGGGATTTCACCGAGTTGTCTATATTAAAGGTTTAAGGGTGTGATTGCTGCTAACTTTCTAATCCAAGTGGCGGCGGGGTTGCGGTAGCTTAGCGTACGAGGGATATGTACGACTCAGAGAGTCACCAGTTAAGATAAGACCTTTACAAGGATTAGTAGGAAATACGCCAAATGCCACTACTAATAACAACCTTAGTAAAAGGACTTACTACTTTAGTTACCAAAACTGAACTGAATTGATTTCCTTATTTGTCTTAGACCTAAATGTAACGGATTTAATGTCTAACATACTAAATCCTAATCAAAACGCAACGTGTGGCTCTGAGGCCATTTACGCATCTACTCGTGTGTGCCACACCTTATGTATCCATATAAATGTATCCATGTGTGTCACACACCAATGGGAGACATTCGTGTAACATCCCAGTTATACTCTTCCCACCAAGATTTCGGATTCCGTGTAAACACACGACGTGATTTTCGGCCGATGGCCGCGGCGACTCGCCTTTCGCCGACGGCGCCCCCCTCAAGCGTGCAACACGCTCCTTACGCGACGGCGCTAGGCACACGTTGGACCCAACTGCTTAGCAAGCACATGAGCCTACTGGATCGGGTGAATGAGCTCAGTAAGCGTCGAACGGAAGCCACAGGTGGGGCACAGACGGCATAACTGGATCCGTGATCCACAGCGTAAGCATCCCAGATGCCCCGTTTACTCTCCACACCGTGTTCACGACACTTTCCTTGTGAGTTCTGTCCTTACAAGACATTAGAGGTCACTTTACCTCAAGCAAGTCCAGAGACTTCGGCTCTCTGAGCTCATTATTAAATTCACATCCATGATGCCAGACCCAACGGTCCCGCGGTCCTTCGACCATACACCGTCGTCACCTAGTGACAGTGCTGCGGCAGAACAACCCACTCCGGCCTAAGGCCCTCGCTCAGACACAGAGCCATCTCCGCAGCTACTCAGCGTCGACGAATACCACCAGGAGTACCATCGGCGTCACGCCAAGGGCTCGACGAGCCACTTCTCACGTGGGAGCAACGCTCAGGTTCCGACTGGGTCACTAAGGCCAAGACCTGCGCCACGTACTTGGCGAGAGGAGCTGGAGGCCGGCGAAGGCGGCTTCGACGACGTTGAGGACCTCCCAGCTCGGCCTGAGGCCGCAACGAGTGGACCGCCAGTTGCATACTCCGAATCCGTTCCCTGAACGCTTCCAGTCGCTGGGCGACGCGGCTCCCCTACCCTCTCGCTACGTCGACGAGCTGTCGGAGCCGGACGTCATTACGAATGACCTCGACGCAGCCCAGGGGTGCCAGCTCACAGCAGGAGCTTCTTCGAGGTCCCATCGACCCGTGACTCACCGCTACTTACAACGTCGCGACGCGACTATTACTTCGAGCGTTTATCTCCAGCACAAGGCGTCCGACGTGCTGCCCTGTAGCCTTTGGACACGAACAGGTGTGAGCCACCGGCCGTAACCACCGACGATGTTGCCCAGCGGCAGTCGCTCCGCGAGCGCTTTCTCACTGCCCAGGTCACTACTCCTGTGCAGTATCTCGGGTACCTGCGGCAGCTGCTCAACCGTGAGCCTGTGCCTGCCAAGCGGACGGCACTGATGGTCCTCGCAGAGGGTGATACTACAAACGCTTATGAAGCGCAGTTCCAAAATTGGGTGGAGAGAAGCCGACGGCTTAACTCCTACGATGCTCTTCGAGCTCGTTTCTCCGAAACGATGTTCGTCTCGAACGGCGCTTGCGTTTTGTCTTCGCAAAGCGAAAAGTGAGACGACAATCGTCGGGACAACGTCCCCAACACTACGAGGATCCCTTGCAGCTACGAGCCATGCTCCCGACAATGAACCGGCTGTTACAGCCACTGGTCAGAGCTTGAGCTCAGCTCATGACCTGTCTTCACCCCACTCTAGTGGTCCGGCGGGTGACTCGGTCGCACGCCCACGGGGCGCCCCAACATCGGGTGCGCCCGATCATAAGCGTCTACGACGTGAGGGCAGTCCTGCCGGGGTGGCACCTCGAACTCCCACGCGTTGTGCGAGTGAGGGTAGCCTTGCCACTTTATCAGGTACTGGTTACGGCCCTGGGGACGGCGTCGCGCCATCAGGCGTTCAACTTGATAGTGGAGCTCGCAGTGCTCATCGGGCAGGGCCGGAGGAGGACGAGCGGCCGCTGGACCCTCGTGCCGCGAGTGTGGACGCGCTGCACTCGTTGCAGACCTGCGTCGGCTCGGTGAAAGAGCACCTTCACCACATTGGTCGTGCGACTCATCGCCTAGTTGTTGTTCTCGAGGAGATCGAACATCGCGTGGACTGGTTAGTCGCCTCAGGCGCTGCAGCAGCGGGTCTCTGACCTTGAGCGTCATGTTCCTCATCTGCAGGGTCAACTTGACATGTTGGTTCGGATGCAATATCCTGTGGCTCTGCCACCTGCTATCATGCAGCTTCCTGTGCTTCCGCACGCCGCTGCCGTGCAGCTCCCTGTGCTCCCGCACCCTGCGGCGCAGATGCTTGCTGCTTCGCAGCATCCATCCGACTCGGCGCTAGCGCATCAGAGCTCACAAGAGCAGGGTCCCGGTATGGGTTGACCAACCCACGTAACATACCGGATGCGTACGAAGATTAAGCGTATACGCAAAGCCCTTCTTGGCCACAATCTTGAAAGGTCCGATGAATCTTGGCCTGAGTTTAGTCTTAAAGACTGCGGACACTGCATGTGTAGGTAGGTTTTTAGTGTTTAATAAAACCAGCTCTCCGATCTCAAACCTTTCCATATTGCTTCAGTCTTTGGCACCCGCATTCTCCTTCTGAAAATCCTGGCTTCCAGCCATCGCGTCGCGTACTGGACGCATGACGCTGAGTCTTAAAGGGACAAAGTCACCGACTTGTTTGCGAACCGCAACGGGGCTGACATCAACAAGCCGATCGGCTAACCCTCCCCACCAATCCCAGAGCCGCACCGTGGCGGTGTCAGTGGGACGCGAGGGTAGGCTAAGTCGTTCACAAAGAATGGGGTGAAGCCTGTCGAGGCATGCACCGCATTGCGAATTCAACGAGTGGGAGCATCTCGCTCCAGCGTCGTGGCGCTTCAGAGCAGACGCTACGGAGGATATCCTCCACCACGCGATTAACGCGTTCAGTTTGACCATCGGTTGGCGGATGATCCGCCGTGGACATGTCCAACTTCGTGCCCAGCACCTTGAACAAGGCTGTCCAAAACTTTGCTGTAAAGCGCGGGTCTCGATCGGAGACATTTGCCTCAGGCAAGCCATGTTGGCGAAATACTCTGTCTAGGAACAGCTTAGCTGTATCCTCACCGTCCACGGTGTCCGGCACAGCGGACAAATGAGCCATCTTGCTCAAATGGTCAAGAAAGACCACAATACCAGTGTTGCTGGCCTTATCCTTCGGAAGGCCAAACACAAAGTCCATACTGATGGACTGCCAACATCCCGAAGGGACCGGCAAACTCGCCAATGGCGCATCCGTATGCGGCGTGGACTTAGTTCGTGGACATGCTTCACATGTAAGCACATAGGTGCTAGCCCATTTGTACAACATGGGCCACCAGTACAACTGGCTCACCGAGCCGTAGGCCTTCTCACGACCAAAATGTCAACCGGGAGGGGTATCATGCACCTCACAGAGGTTGCGATACTTAAGGTCCTCATCATGAGGAACGACCAATCAAGGAGTATCCTCAGGGTTAGTGCTGTAATACAACAGACCATTATCTAGCGTATAACGCTGCAGCCGCGCGCGTAAGCGTTAGGGCAATTCCTTGATTGAGTTCTTGAACTCCTCGCTCCCAAGAGCACGTAACAGGGCTACACACGTGTCATCCGGGGCATATGCCCTGCGTATAAGATCAGCGACCGACGACGCCACAGTGGTGACATATGCCAACTCGTAGTCTGGCCTACGCGACAACACATCGACCACTACGTTAAGCCGTCCCGGGTTATACTTCAGCTCGAAGTTGTACTCAGCAAAGAATGAAAGCCATCTTGCCATTCGCTGTGAGAGGTGAGGCGACTGAGTCGCAGAGCGTAATGACACATGATCATTAAAGATCACAAAAGGCTTAGACCCGAGTAGATGTACTCTAAACTTCACTAGAGCACACTTCATCGCAAGTAGCGCTTTGTCATGAACTGGATAGTTCTTCTCAGCAGCCTTGAGCTGGCGAGACTCAAACGCAATAACGCGTTCACGCCCCTCGGCGTCTGCTTGTAGTAAAGTACAACCGATAGCAAAATCGGAGGCGTCACAGACGACGCTAAACGGACAATCCGGGTCCGAAAGCGCCAGGATGGGCGCATGAAGGAGAGACTCCTTAACGGCCTTGAAGGCTTCGTCATGGACGACATCCCAACACCAAGGTGCATCCTTCTTAAGGAGATTCGACAATGGCCTCGCCATCTCAGCATAGTTGGCGTTGTACTTGTGTAAGTAATTGGTTAAGCCAAACCACGTGCGTAAGCCCTTCTGGTTCACGGGAACAGGCCAATCCATAATGACCTTGACCTTGGCAGTATCTGCCCTAAGGCCTCGCTTCCCAATGAAGCATCCGAGGAAAGGTATTTCCTCGGCGCCGAAGACGCATTTGTCCAAGTTGGCATACACCGTATTAGGGCGCATGCACTCGAGCACCGCTTGCAAATGGTCAATATGTTTCTTCACGTCGGACCTCCCGTGCTCAGCACGACTATGGACGAAGCTATCGTCGAAGTACGTCTGAGTGTAAGCCCGGTGGGGCCGGAACAACTGCGTCACCAGATGATTGAACGTTGCTGGCGCGTTCGATAGCCCTTGGTGCATCACTAACCACTTCCAGAGCATACCGCTCGGAGTACTTACTGTTGTGAGAGGTATATTGCTAGCTCGTATGAGCAACTGATAATACCCATCGACTAAGTCGAGCGCGCTGTACAACGTACATTCCACCATGTTGTTCTAAAGAACATCCTTACGAGGAATCGGCGTTTGCGCCGGAATAGTGGCGGTGTTCAGCTTATTGAAAGCATACGCGATGCCCCACTTGCGATTAGGGCTTCGGACACAGAACGTAGGTGTCGAGTGCAGAGATTTACTCTCACGCACTAAGCTGGCCTCGTGCTTAGCACGGAAGAACACGTCAATGACGTCCCATTGCTCCCTTGACAAGGGTCACTGCCGTGTAACACAGTATTTGGTTCAGGGAACCAGGTCAATCTCATGACGCACGCCTCGGTCCGGAGGCAGACCCCACGGTGGGGCCTTTGCCACCACGTCGTGATATTCCTTAATCAAAGAATAGAACGGATCCGATGGATCCTTAAGGATCGCCGATCCACTTCTCTAAGCGCCCGCTTCGTGTCCTCAAGGACAGCTTCGTCCACGACGGACGAGGAGTTCAACTCCTCTTCGGATCGTATCATGACCACCTCAGCGAGGTCACCAGCCGTTAAGACTTCACCAAACTCGGCGACGGACATCTCGTCCAGCTCTAGAAGAGCATCAAAAGACGGGAGTCACTCGAGACTGATGTCTCCGTCGACATCCCCTGTCACTCCGTTGACGAGTGCGTACAACTGCTCACTGCAGTCTCGTGGAGTCTCACCGCTCGACACAGTGGACATCTCGTCCGACGTCATAGACATCATGAACGCTCGGCGTCTCCTCCTCCTCTCTCTCCTCGGCCGCGCACGACTGGACGAGAATGGCCTGGCGACGTTACCACCGTCGATTGGCCCAGGTGGCAACACACCTGCACTCCTCAGAGAGGGAACAGTGTCATACAAGACACTCAGCGGTGGGTCATCGACCCTACTAATACCGCTCAACAGAGGGGGTGCTACGCCTTGCGCACCGTCACAACCAACTGCAACTTCGTTGCTTACCATTTCGGACATTCCAATGTCCAGCACCACGGCCGACTCGGCCTTGTGCCCGCGCCAATAGCGCTTCTGTCTCTTAGCAGAGGTGGGTTCATGACTCGTCAATGCTCCACTATGAAATGAGCGCGTAGGGCCTAACGTTTTTGACTTCCAGTCGAACCAGGGCTCGTGGCTCTCAAGCCACGTCATGCCAAGGATAAGGCCATACCTCCCATCCAGGTCTAAGACCAAGCAGCGTTCAACACTGTCAAAGTCTAAGAACTATTAAGGTCTATAGAAACCTTCGACGCCGTAACGAGTGTTCCCGTCGATAGTCGGACAGAGATCATATCTCTGTTCGACACCTGCCGTGCCTCGATATACGGTCGATATCCCTCGGCCATGGAGCGCCGAACATAGTACCAGACGCTCCGCGTCAATCTAGACTCTCCATGGCTTATCAAAGCCTTTCAAGTTCGCTTGAATGACTAGTAAACCAGGTTTACATACACTCATAGCGGGAGAGAGCTTAGCTCTCTGCGGGGCTAAGTTCCACCTATCCTTGCCTCCCGGAGGCCCAACAGAACTCAGTTCTTCCCCAGCAGGGCGCCCCGCGGCTACTGGGAGCCGTCGTTTTCCCGCGACGAACCTGAGAAGGTATTCGAAGCGGTGCTTCGACTCGACGGAGCATTGGCCTTGCCGCGCAACGGGCAACTAGGCCGCAGGTACCGGTACTCCCGCACATAAAGCATCGACGGATGTCGGCGCGCTGCTCAGCAGCAAAGAGGTCTGCCGCCTCTTCAGCTTGGCTGAGGTGGATGGGTTCTGGACCCCTCGAAGGGCTCGAAGAAGCCGCGCTACCCGCGCTTCCGCCTAGTCTCGCAGACTTGAAGTTATGTTCGGCATTCAATGCTACGTTCACGGCCTCTTCAAAAGAGGCCTTCCATGAAGACGGTCACGGTCACCACCTCCGGAAGAGTGTCTAACGCCATTCCGGCGACGAGAGTTCTCAACTCCTGGACATAATTCAACAAGTCCTTTTTATCCTGACAGGTGAAAAGGAACGTCGACCGTACATGGTACGCCTGGTTAGGCGGCGCAAATACGCGCACTGATTGCTGTTTCAGCTGATCCCAAGTGGGAAATGCAGCGTCCAGAGACGTCCCGCACGTCAGTGCCCATTCTCTAGCTCTACCAACAGCTTCGAGATCGCGAGCACTACGCGCTGCTGCTCCTCCTTTAACAAGGCCGACCCCATGGAAATCTCGACCTCACTGGTCCAAAGAAGAAGGTTCTCCCCTTCCTTCCTTCGAATCTTTGTACGCTCAACATGAGCGGTTTCGTTATGTCTGGAAGAGAAAGCACACGAGGAGGACGCACTGGCAGACGTGGCATTACGTCTTGTCAATCGCTTCGAGTACAAGGTCTTTAGCCTGAAGAGCCCAAGGATCTGGATGCTGTCATCCAGGATGCTCGGACGACGGGCGCTGCGAAGCGGAAGGCCGCCCAAGAAGAGAAGGAGTTGTCGACAAGTTGAGAGGAACCGTCGCCGGAGCCGGCTGTCCAGGGTGAGCATCAAGCTGCCCAGGATGCTGACATCGAAGTTAGTCCGCGTCAAGAGGAGTCGTCGACTCTGCCAAATTTACCCAGTTCCGAAGGGAACATGGATGAGGGGGTATCCATTGTGGATGCACCCGCCCAGGGGTCCGTGGGAGGCGCCGTCAAGGTTGAGCCACCGACTGAGGATCTAGTTTTGGACACTCCTCAGCCGGACATTCATGTAGAGAGTCTGGATGAGACAGTCCCGATAAAGGAAGAAGGTCGTTGTCGACAGTGCAGGAAGAAGCGGTACTCGAAGAGAAAGCCGCACCTCCGGCTTCGATGACTCCGTCTCCAACGCCAGTGTCGGTCATTCAGGTTGTCAGTTGTCCTGGAGGTGAGCTCTCCAACTTCGAGTGTGGATTCTGGATCACAAGGGACCCAGATGAACGAGGCCCAAGCGAAAGCATACGTCGCGGGCCGAGTACAACGATGGGAACGTGAGGCGGCGAACGAGTGTTGCCACCCCGAGCGCGATACACTTGGCGAAGCACTGGTCGAGACTTCGAGCCGTAGCGGACTGCCATGATCGCGACGTCACGTCACCTTGAAGGGCGAACGACATCGGCAGCCCTGGATGAAGAGTCGATCTCAGATCTACAACCTGTCCGCTCGGAGCTGCCAGGATGTCACGCCGATCGTGATTCCGCCGAGCATGTTGTCACCGCGAGACTTCATTGCACTCATCCAGACGCTACTGGATGAGGCAGGTTTCAGATTCTGGAATGAGATTCCTGAATGGTTCCGCTCACGGTCGTCACAGATCGCACCGAGCGCTGTCAGAATAGCGGTGAAGGTATCCAACATTTTCTAGCAACGGAGCTCATCGAGTGGCGTCAAGTTGCATTCGGGGTGACGATCCAAGTGGTGGACATCCAGGATGGACCATTGAACACCCAGGATTATCACGCAAAAGATGCCGACGGAGATCTACTCATGACAGCCGAGAGTTCGTCTTGCGACACAGGATGTCAGGGCTACAACGGCTGAGAAGTCCGTGAGGATCCTCAAGCGGTGAGCCTGATCCCATGAGGCTACAACATGTGCCACCTCGTCCAGTGTCTCTATCGACACCGTCGCTGAGTTTGCTACCGTTGTAGCATTCATCGGATACGAACAACCAGACCGTGGTCACCCTGAATGAGACCACGTCCTCCATCCAGAATGTGTCATCGCGAGCAAAAGGATCGGACTTTGTCCCAAGTCTGTTCGGCACGTAAGGAGGGTCCATTGAGACTACGCGCAGTGGTACGTCAGGATCGAAGTCGTCCCAAGATGAGTCATCGCCTTCGTCCGTGTGGTCTCTTGGGCAACCATCAGTTGGTCACACGCCGTTCAGGGCGTTTGCTCCTATGGTGATGACCGCCCAGGGTGGAGCCGTCCAGGCGAACCCTCAGATGGGCATGCAAGTGGTCCAAACTATTCTCCCTCCGCCGCCAGTGATGGCAGAACTCGACGATGTCGTTATGTCGGAGTCGGGCGAGGTTTCCACCCAGAGTGAACGCAGGTCAAGACATCCCAGGGCGCGGTGACCGCACCGCCGAAAAGACGGTAGTCCTGACGGATCATCCAGTGGCTCTAATTCTGAAGCCAGTCGCTCACGACACAAATATGGCAGAAGTCATCGGTCATCCAGGAAGACGACGTTCCGTAGGACGCATTCAGAGCATTCCAGTCGATCGGGTCGATCCTCCAAAGTCGCATTGAATACGATGCGCCAGACTCAGGAAGCTTTGGCTCGAAACCAGTCAGAACTCGCCCAGAAGCGCCAAGCTGATGAAGCAATCCGGGCTACTCACACTGAGGCTGCCATTCAGGGTAAACGACTTCGCGCCGCGAAAAAGATCGAGGACCGACTCCAAGCACACTAGTTTCAGACCGCGGCGTACTTCGCTGAACGTCTCAGGGTTCAACGGATGCAAGATGAGTCTGAGCGTGCGCGCTGGGTGGACGATGTCCAGAAGAGCACGAATATGCAGATAGCGATCCCCTAGCAGCAAATGCGCGAGATGGAGGCTGAACGTGTTCGGGAATGGGAAGCGGCGAAGAGTATCCAGAATTTTCAAGCTAGTCTGTTGCGCGACCTTCGTGCAACCTCCGCGCAGGTTCAACATGCGACAATGGCCCCTGCTCCAGATGCAGTGTCTCAAATCAAGACAATATATGGAATTGCGAATTTCCAGCAAGACGCAAAGAGTCATGATGTAGGCAACGTTACCATCAAGAACGGGAA